ATTAATATTTTACTATTTAGGAAAGTTAATACTTTCTTTTTCTAGTACGCATTATTAAAATATCTTTGTATTGTAATTCTCTAATATATTTATTTCAAAGAATTGATATTGCAATAATTAATTATAATATAAATTTTGTAAACTACTCTTCAATTTCAAGACTCGCGAAAGTTTCGCTTTCGCGAAGCGAAGAAATGGGAGTGCGAAAAATGTTAGATGAGTTTGAATTGCACAACACTTTCCAAATTCGCGTTTCCACGAGGCGCTTCAGGGCTTTCTCAGATGAGATGTTTTAAGGAAGTTTCGCACGAAAAATGTAGGAAAAGAAGAGGAAACAGGCGGAGACCGAGAGGAAGAGGGCGGAGGTCCGCGCCCGCCTCGAAGAGGCTTCCAAAGCCAAGAAGGCGAAGAAGGGTTTCATGACCCCCGACAGGAAGAAGAAGCTTAGGGTAAGTTCGCTTTCTGTTTTCTCCCTTTTAAATTTGGGTCACACGATGAAGTGAGTTCACGAAATCGCGAGATATCCTCTTTAAAATTTCGTTCGTTTCGCGGTAAGACATTGCGAATCTTTCTCGTCATATTTCATTCCTTCCGTCGATGCGAAACGCTATCGGCGTTAATGCCACGTCAAGTTTTTCAAAAGTACGTTTTATATTACATCCCCAGCCGCATCGAGTGTTCATTATCGATAACCAAGTCGAACTTCTCGTTCCCCGATTTACCTTATTGCCTCATCGCACGCCATAATCTTCTCTCGCGTTGTTCGAGCCGCGCGCCGGGCAATATCGCGGTAATCCTCTTTGCCCCACCTTTATACGCCGATTTTCTCGCGAAATATTTCTCGTAACGGCCACATCCATTTCTCTATTACTTTCTCTTATTCTCCTCGCTCCCTATCCTTCGTCTTTCAACGTTCTGTTTTCTAGCCACCGATGCAAAACGTCCGAGACTTTCTCAACTTTATCTCGCCTTTTTACCTTTACTTTATGGTCCCATCTTACATTCGCCATTCTGTTTCCATCGTCGCACAATATCCTGCAGAACATCCATGTGCCCCTCTCCCTCCCCCCCTCTCTCTCTCTCTCTCTCTCCTCTCTTCTCTTACTCT